ATTTGTGGAAATACATATCTTATGTCTTAAACCAAAAATGAAAAGTGCGAACTACGTTTTTTAATTCTTTGATTTATTATTATTATTATTACTATTTTACCAAATTCTTCTTTGTTTGCTTGTTTATTTATTTATTTTACATTGAAGTATTAATTGCTTAGCATATAAGAAATTTGAACTTTTGAACTTTATCCAAAATTAAAGGTTTTAAATTAGTAGGTACTAATTAAAAATTTTAAATTAATAGATACTAATTTAAACATTTGATTTTAACCCCAAATCAAAACTTTTAAATTAATAGATACTAATTCGGCAAACTTTCGGTTGGTATTCTTTGTTTGTTTATACATATATTGAGAGTAACAAAATCTTGATACAATTGAATTTAGAAAGAAAATCAGAAACTGAAAAAATTTTTAAAAAAATCTTAACAAAATGTAATTGGCAAAAACCCTTCTTAAGCCTTTGAAGTTGCCCTAAAATAGCATTGAAGCCCTTGGATTAAAAACAAAATAAACAAACCCTCCAACGAGCGATACAAGTAAACCGTTATTACAAATGACTGAATCTAACATACAAGTATTTTGTTTGATCTCTGACATAAAGTATTCCATGTAAATGTTATATGCTTATTTAGGCCGCCAAATCTAGGGGAATAGCACACATCAGTCATGTGTGATAAGAGATTATTTGCACTGACCATGAAGTTGGAGGGTTTATTTGCTTCATTTTTAGTTTAGACACTTAAATACTATTTTGGGGCAAGTTTAGGGGCTCAAGAAGGGTTTTTGCCAATATAAGTTTCAGGGACATTCATCCCATGTACAACTCACTGCACAGAATATTCCATTTTACTTTTGCAGTCCACAGAATATGCCATCGAATAAGGAAATTACAGATTGGATTTTACCTTTTCTATATAGAACTTTCTCCTTCAAGAAAATGCAGATCCCTTTGCTTCTTTCCTGTAACATCCAGCCCACCAATTTTTGCACATATATACAAAGCCCTAAGGCTCAACTTTCATGTAGTCAATTAATAACAAGTATTACCTATCAAGAAAAAAAATCAAGAACAATAATGGAGGGAAAGGGAATTGATGAGCGTCAAATGAAGGGAACAGAGGACAAGGAGACGTCCTCACAACATGGATCTGGATTCCACAAAAATTCAGATGAACTCATAACCATATGTGGTGTTGAAGAGGGTGGAAATACTCTCGAATCCATGGCGAATGGGGGTTTGAACCAGGGCGCGCACCCGCCCTTCAACGTCAACCCTCCACAGGAGGGTTGCCCCCAGGCTAACACTATTGATCAGCTCGCCAATCTGAATGATGGTGAGTTACTTTCTCAAGTATTTGGGGGGCGACAGAATGGAAGCAGCTTTGATCAAATAGCTGCAGAAGGGATTGAATGGTGGAGGAAACGGATGGACAAGATGAGCCAAGAAGAGTTCCAGCAATTTTACGCTGCGCTGGGGATTCTTCGGGGAAGGGTGCAGACTCACCTGCAACAACGGATCAGAATTAGAGACTCTAATTCTGGGGAAACAAGCACCTCTAGCTCTAGTACCAGTACTAATGGTAGAGCTCGACGCAGGTGACGTTGATTATATTTTTCTTTTGGCATGTTAAATGAGATATTGTAATTTTTCTTCTTTCTAGTGATTAAAAGCTTGTAATTTTTCTATTAGAGATGAAAAAATCAAAAAGATATTTTTTTGAAAAAAATGAGAAGGATTGCAAGTTTAAAGAAAAAACCCTAAAAACTAACACCAAAGTTAATTGGAGTTCATAGAAACTCCCCCTCAAATCAAAATTGAACATACTATTTGCTAGGGGAGTGGCTTACCAAGTGAAGGATAAGTTTAAACTTGGACTCCTCCTCTTTTAGCATATTGATTAAATATAGTAAAATTTTACTTTTTCAACCAATAAAATATAGTCAATTCATGAAAAAAAAAAAAAAAATACTTCAATAAGCCACCTAAAGAATCCGACTGAAAAGTTTGACTCAATTGAAAAGTTGATTGACTTGTCCGGCATTGCTAGAGAAAGGTGGTATTACAAGAGAAGGGTGATGGGATTGTGAGTTTCCAACCTTGACACCACATACGGTAATGAGTTCACTGGACTTTTATGAACCCCACAACTGACAAGCCTACACATTGCACATATAGAGGTATACGTGTGCAAGAGCCGAAGATTGTGTGGTGATTGAATTGGTTGCATACTAGCATCTACCAAATCTACTGACATAAAGTCATCCTACAAGAGTTCTTATACACGACTTATTTTTTAAAACTCCGCATCTCGAATCAATGTGGGATGTAATGTTTGCGATGCTCGTAACAAACTCTTCTCATTATCATCTCCCAAGCAAAGGTAGTGTAGGTTGTTGTGTTATTTGTTAAGGCACAAGTCACGACCCAAGTCTCATCACATTACCTATGAATGGGTAATTTGGTCCACTTATGTTTCTTTAGATAATTATTCATGGCTTCATCAAAATTGTCTTTAACTTGCACCTCGATTCCTCAAGTAAATGTGCAAATAAAGATTTCAACTTTACACTTTTTTTTGTTTAACGATGTTAATTTTGTAAGTTTCTAAATAAATATATCAACTTTTAACTTTTTCTATTTAAGGATTAATTAAATAGTGATGCTGACGTGGCTAACATATTTTTTAGGTTAAATATTTGAATTGGTCCCTCAACTTTTATTTTTGAACCAATTCATCCTTGAACTTCAGAAAGTACCTAAAACATCCTTCAATTTTAATTTTCAATTTTGTCTTTCGTCAGTTAAATGTTGATGTAGCTAATTTTTTCGCTAAGTGATTGATTATTTTACATTTTTAATATTAGGTGGAAAATCCATCATGTAAAAGATGATTATGTGGATTTTTTTAATTTTAAATAATTTAAAACTACTTTAATTCTTAATTTTACTTT